CAAGTGAAATAACGAATATGCAATTATTGTTATTGTTGCTGTTATTATTATTGCTGCTACTGTTTTGATGTTATTATTGTTGTTTTTAGCAAAGCTAAGATGTAAAACCTGGTAAATATAAATGGGGCTTCAGTGATAGGGAGTTTTCTTTATTGTTAGAAACCCTGTCAGGATCCCTTATCCTATTGGGGTGCCTGGATGGCTCACGTTGACCATCTGACTCTTGATTTCGGCTCCGGTCATGATCTTGGGATTGTGGGATCAACAGACTTCAGGCTCCTTGCTCAGTGGGGAGTCTGGTGGATTCTCCCTCTCCCTCTCCTTCTGCCCCTTTCCCTCTCCCTCTGCCTCTCCCCATGCTCTCTTTCTCTTTCTCTCTCTCATAAATAAATAAATAAATAAATAAATAAATAAATAAATAAATAAATAACTCTATCTTTTTTTAAAATCCCTTATCCTATTTTTTTATTTTTTTATTATTTTTTTAAAAGATTTTATTTATTTATTTGACACAGAGAGAGAGATAGAGAGCACAAGCAAGGGGAGCAGCAGACAGAGGGAGAGGGAGAAACAGGCTCTCTGCTGAGCAGCCTGATGCGGGGCTTAATCCCAGGACCCTGGAATCATGACCTGAGCCGAAGGCAGCCACTTAACCAACTGAGCCACCCAGGTGCCCCTATCCTATTTTTTTTTAAATCAATTTTTCCTATGACGAAATTCCAAGGAGCTACAAAGGACTGTGTAGGTAAATCTATGTCCCCCAAAGGTAGCCCTTAACCCTTTGGGGGCAGAGTTGTTAAGAGATCATCTAAAGAGACAAATTCACAGTTAAGTGATACTCTGAGCATAATGCATTGTGCATAGTGGCCACTCAATAGAAGGTAGTTATTATCAATTATTATGAGGCAATTAAATGTTGGAAAGGCTCACTTAGAGTCAATCAACTTTTTTTTTTTTTTAAGTTTACTTATTTCTTTTAGTAATCTCTATACCCAATATGGGTCTCAAACTCACAACCCCAAGATCAAAAGTCGCATGCTCCATCGACTGAGCCAGCCAGGTGCCCTTCAATCAGCTTTTATATCGAGGTTAGAAGAGAGATCCCCATGTCCTGTGCTAGCCACTGAAATAAATTAATCAGATAGGATCTCAGTCCTTGAGGAACTCACAATCAAATATGTGAAAGAGACACTAACAAATAATACATAGTATAGTAGATGAAAGAGCAGAATTGTGTGCAAAGTATTGGGACAACAAAGAGATGGCAATTAATTCTGCCTGGACAAATAGCAGACAAGTCATACCTCCTCCATCACAGTGACTGGTCTTTGCCTGCATGTGAATCCAAAAGCTGTTGAGATTTTAGAAGTATATTTTTAAATAGAAAAAAAATCTGTCAAGTTCCTAGTTTGTGTCAGGTCAGGTCCTTTCAGGTACATGGTTTCATTCAACACTCCCAATAACTGTGTGAAGTTGAGAATGACTCACTCATTTCATAGATGAGGAACAGAGGCACGAAGAAGTTACCTAGTTAACATAAGTCACACTGCAAGTGATGACCTATCTGATTTCAGCACCTGTGTTCCTTCTGTTGCACGGGACTGCAACTATAGGTTTCCAAAAGGGCAGAATGGCTAGGCCAGAGAGTTTCTTTCCTTGTCTAGTCCAGGTAAATGCAACCGGGTAAGACACAAACCCATCTTTGTGTTGTTCATATACTCTGAAGAGGGAGAAAGCAGAGGGGAAGAGAGATAAGAAGGAAGAAAAGGATGATTAATTCTGTTAGCAAAGCACAAGGATTCTCAAGACAACTAGAATACTTTAAAAGGTCCGGAATCTAGGACCCAAAAGGAAGGTGAAATCAACATATATGGATGTAAAGACACCATAGCAATATCTTTTAATGTGTCAGAATGGATATTATTGTTGCCAAGCTCTGCTGATGATGTCATGTGTTATAAAGGAATATCATATAGATGTGGCCAGAAATCCTTGCATATCAATAATTCTGTAGTTTCTCTGGCTTATTTTGTCTCTAGCCTTTAAAAACTAAGCCTCCCATGGAGAAATCAAGACAGCTCACCAAATCCCTCCTGACTTCCCCAGTGGGAGAAACAGAAGAAAAGGGGTCAAACATTTGAATGCCACCTGTAAAGGCTGCCTGAAGCAAATCCTTTGTGTTTACATTCTGCATAGTTTTGCCTTCATGATGAGTGGATATTAGAAGAGAGGCAGCTAAGATGGTAGGGCTAAGGAAGAGAGAACTGAATAGTAAATTGTGATCACTTCACTTTAAAAAAATGGTTGACAATGACAAATGACATTCTTAATGCTGCCATGAGAGTAATATTTCTAAATACAAATATAGCCATGTCACTTCCCTGCCCAAGAACATTTGATGCTCCACACACACTAACTATAGCAGTGGTGTCCAACAGAACTTTCTACAAACATGTAAATGTTCAATATCTGCTCTGTCCAATATGGTAGCTACTAACCACATGTGGCGTTTGAGCACTTGAACTTGAAATGTGACTAGTGCAATCTAGGAAATGGATTTTAATTTAAATTTTATCTTAAATAGCCATTTGTGGCTAGTGGCTCCCTATAGTAGCCTATAGGATCAAATCCAAACTCTTGAATAAGACCTACTGAGGGGCACCTGGCTGGCTCAGTCAGAGGAGCATGCAACTCTTGATCTCAGGGTCGTGGGCTTGAGCCCCACTTTGGGTATCGAGATTACTTAAAATAAATAAATAAGACTAAAAAAAAAAAAAGAAAGACTAACAATGAGAAAAATCTTTAAAAAAAACCATACTCTTTACTCTCTACTCCTACCTACCTATCCAGCTTCATTTCCCACTCTTTTCAACAGAATATTAGTCCCAGTCAAAACAAATTTCTATAATTCTTTAATCATGACATACTCTATCATATCTTCATATCTCCCTGCCTTTGTACCTCAGTTATTTTTGCTGAAATGACCTTTCTTTACTCACCCACCTGGAAAATCCCAACTCCTCTTTCAGGACACAAGTCAAATGTTACCTTTTATATTTAGCCTCTTGCATCCACTTCACAGAAATGGTGTGGTCCCTGTGGTCCCTCCACCGTGCTTACACAGCCCCCTTTTCATGCCCTCAACACAGTGTATCATAACTATTTGCTCACTTGTATATCTTGCCCACTAGATTGTGAGCATTTTTAAAGGAGTAATTTTTTTTACTTCAAAGATTGACCAAAGATATTATTGTGTTTATTGTTTTGTACTTTTCATTTGTACTTTTGTACAACTTACATGAATGTTACGCAATTTTAGCAAAGTTATGATAGGTAAGTTTTCTCACTTTGTAGATAAAAAAACCAAGGGGAAGAAGATAGATGGCTTGCCTAAGCTTAAAAACTTATACATGGCAAAAAACAGGGTAATGTATATTTCTAGCTCTGGATGTTCCTTCTGATGATCAACAACACCAAAACCAAATTAGAAGCTCTGAGATCCTCCAATTGCCAACCCTAAATCTCAAACCAACACTTGGTAAACTGGCATTTACACAGTACACATGAATTTGGGCCACAAGCAACTTTACTGAGGAACTAACAATGAAGTCAGTCTTTTCCCAGATAAGAATGGAAGCTAAATGCACTGAAACGCCAACTTCTTTCACGTTGTAAATTTCCCCGTCCCCCTCCAGACAGATGTTTCTCAATATTTACTTTGTCTTTTTTTTTAAAGATTTTTAAATTTATTTTTTATTTTTTTAAAGATTTCATTTATTTGACACAGAGAGAGAGAGCACAAGCGGCGGAGGAGGGGCAGGAGAGGGAGAAGCAGGCTGAGCAGAGAGCCCAATGTGGGGCTCATCCTAGGACCCTGGAATCATGACCTGAGCCGAAGGCAGACGTTTAACGACTGACCCACCCAGGCGCCCCAAGATTTTTTTTATTTTTAAGTAGTCTCTACACCCAGTGTGGGGCTGGAACTCACAACCCTGAGATCAAGAGTCACACTCTGGCTCTACCAACTGAGCCAGCCAGGTGCTGCAACTTCATCTTATACTTAGTCCTGAGCAGCGTATTCTTAAAGGAGTATTCTTCATTTTTCTTTGTATCCCAATACTTTGGCACAAGTCATAGAACATAATTAGGTTCCAATAAATATTGAATGAAATAATGAATGAAAGAATATTTAAAAGTTCTTAGAGGTAATTATGGAGTTTAGATTTTTCCAAGATTTTGCACCATCAAAAAAGCCTGGAGGAACTTTGCCTTTCTGGCTTTATTTTTACAAGTCAACCTTCTATAACAGCTTTAAAAAAAAGAAAGAAAAAAAAAAAACAACCCCGATCCAGTCCACAGCACAACCACATCAGAGAAAGCCTTAGGGAAGAAGAGAGAATAAAGGGAGGCCCTTTTGAAGAATATGTTTGATCTCAGATTAAACTTCCTTTAAAGTAATAATTCTATGGCACCCTATCATAAAGTTCCCCAAAGGTGCCAAATAGTTCTAGTTTATGGCTAAAATAAAAATATATGCATTAAACTCCCTTCAATTGAGAGCTATTTTAGCTTCAGTAGAACTTTTCTGCTTCTATTTTTTGGTATGGTTTTGGTACAAAGAAAATCATACTTACAAGGAAAAAAAAAAAAAAAGATAAAAGGCCAGAGGTGAAAGAGAGCTGGCTACCAAAGAAAAGCCAGAAAGGAATGATGCTGACTCCACAGCCTGTACTTAACCAGGAATTCTCTGCTTGTGCAGAGTTGGGCCCAGAGAGCAGGGATTGCCCAACCCTGGAGAAATGGAGAAAGGATGATGAAAGAGGCTGCAAGAGGGAAGCTCAAGTGGTTAGTGAGATCACAGAAGGCTGTAAGAAGGGAGGTTACAAAGAACCACTTATGAAGCAACTAGGTATGCAACTCAGTCAATCTTTCCAGAAGCCCAGAACCTGTGTTCAGGTTGGTCCAACCCAGCCTCTAGCACAGGGATACTGGCAAAGTACCTGCTGCACAAAGCTCCTCCAGCACAGGGACACAGCAATACTTGGACACTGGGAGGCTATCTTCTTCCCCCTCCTTCTATAGCTTGCTCCATTACTTGACATTAGAAAAGCTTTTCTTATGGTGTAGGAAGAATCCTTTGTGTTGCTGCTATCCAAGCCCCAGATATCGAATGTATACTGGAAAAAAAAAAACAACAACAACAGAAAAAACATAATTTCACTCTAGTAAATTACTCATAGTCTCTAGTGTAATTCTCCTGCTTGGCATCTTGGGATTAGGAGACACAGGTGCAGATTTTACAAGATCATGATGTGGGGGGAAAAAAAGAATCATGATGTGGATGCAAATTTTGAAATAAATTCCTCAGAAGAGAGTATTACCTCCTTGACCTACTGAGATAGGAATTTTTAACTTCCATCTTCTCCAACTATCCTATGTCTTTTTTTTTTTAAAGATTTTATTTATTTATTTTGAGAGAGAGAATGAGATAGAGAGCATGAGAGGGGGGAGGGTCAGAGAGAGAGGCAGACTCCCCGCTGAACAGGGAGCCCAACGTGGGACTCAATCCGGGACTCCAGGATCATGACCTGAGCCAAAGGCAGTCGCTTAACCAACTGAGCCACCCAGGCACCCTATCCTATGTCTTTTTTAAAAAGACTTATTTATTTATTTATTTGAGAGAGAGAGAGAGCATGCATGTGCATGTGAGCCGGGTGGGGGGGGGGGTGGCGGCAGGCGGTGGGATAAGCAGACTTCCACTGAGCAGGGGGCTCCTTCCAGGACACCAGGATCATGACCTGACACTTAACTGACTGAGCCACCCAGGTGCCCCTCCTCTCTTATGTCTTTATTTGAATGCCTTATCCTTTTTACCTCTATTTTCACAGCCTTCTACCTGAACTACTGTGCTGGCCTTCTAATCTACAAACCTTCAGTCTTATCCCCATTCCAGTTTATTTCCAAAAGCAGTCTTCCTGAAGCACATATTATGAGGATTATGATTTAACAAACAAAATAAATCAAATCAAACAAAACCTTCCATAACTACTTATAGCCCTCTCTAATTTAACAACACACTCCTTACCTTGACATTCATTGCTCTCATGATCCATCTCCAATTTACCATTCTAACCACTTCTATCACATACCCATTGCTCCTACTACACTGATAACTCTGTCCAACATATTTTCCTATCCTGCAGATTATACTAAATGTTCACATTTAAGATTACTTTCCTATGGTAGCTATCATGAAAAGCAGAATTAGTTCTAGATAGATTTATTTTGAGACTTTTGATGCGTTTCGCCAAACTTTATTTCAGAGGCATCAAATCCTCTTGTTGTCACATCTTCACAAGCATTGCATATTAATATATTTGAAAACTTTCTAAATTTGGTAAGTAAAAAATTATATTTAAAAAATCTTGGGGCGCCTGGGTGGCTCAGTCATTGGGTGTCTGCCTTCAGCTCAGGTCATGATCCTAGGGTCCTGGGATCAAGCCCCACATCGGGTTCCCTGCTCCACGGGAGGCCTGCTTCTCCCTCTGCTTCTGCCCCTGCTTGTGTTCCCTCTCTCGCCGTCTCTCTCTCTGTCAAATAAATAAACAAAATCTCAAAAAAAAATTTTTTGTGAATGGATAAAGAAAATGTGATATATATATATATGTTATGTATAATTATTATTCAGGCATTAAAAAAAAGGAAATCCACGGGCGCCTGGGTGGCTCAGTTGGTTAAGCGACTGCCTTCGGCTCAGGTCATGATCCTGGAGTCCCTGGATCGAGTCCCGCATCGGGCTCCCTGCTCGGCAGGGAGTCTGCTTCTCCCTCTGACCCTCCCCCTTCTCATGTGCTCTCTCTCATTCTCTCTCTCTCAAATAAATAAATAAAATCTTAAAAAAAAAAAAAAGGAAATCCTGCCATTTGTGGTAACAGATTGACTGCTCAGTGAAATCAGTCGCACAGAGAAAGACAAATACTATATGATCTCACTTATACAGAGAATCTTAAAAAACAAAACATCTCAAAAAACAAACTCATAAATACAGAGAACAGATTGGTAGTTGCCAGAGGCAGGGGTGGGTAGGGGGATAGACGAAATGGGTAAAGGTGGTCAAAAGGTACAAACTTCTAGTTACAAAATAAATAAGTCCGGGGGAATGTAATGTATAACCCGGTGACTATAGTTAATAATACTGTCTGTATATTTGGAAGTTGCTAAGAGAGTGTATCTTAAAAGTTCTAGTCATAAGGAAAAACATTTATAACTATGTGTGGTGATGGACGTTAACTAAACTTATTGTGGTGATCATTCCCCGGTATATACATATATTGAATCATTGTTATATACCTGAAACTAATATATTATGTTATATATCAATTATATTTCAATAAAAATAAATCTTTGTGAATTGGTAGTTCATAAATTCTGTTTTCCTTTTTGGTTTTTAGTATGGCTGAACTTTCTCCCATGCTTTGTTATCCAATTGTATTTCCTTTATGAATTGCCTGTTCATGTCTGTTACCTATTTATCCTTTGGGGTCTTAATACTTTCATTCCTGCAAGCTCAGCCTTTTATACACACTCTTACATTTTAGGAAGCAGCTTATGTTCAAGGAAAGAGCACCATACTAGAGAACATGAAAAACTACCATTATGTGACAAGGAGCAAGTAATTTCTATTTTATACACCTCAAATCTGTACCCAAATCTATGTACCCAAATCTATAAAATGAGGATGATGCAATAGAGGCTCCAGGATCAAGGAAAGGTCAAGTGAAGGGGGCTACCCTTCAAAACTCCTGATTTCTGCTTTATCTAGAAGAGCTTCCTTTTTATCCATTGTCATATATGTGTGTTTATTTATATAAAATATAAATATACAATATAGTATGTGAATTATATAAATATATAATTGTATATATGTATAAATTACATATATTATATATGTGTGTGTATATACATACACACATATATATAAATTCCTAAAGCCCATCCATCTCTAATGGCCATGGATTCCTTTATTCTGCCATAGATAGAGTGTAACCAGTTAAAGAACAATTCTGTGGTTATTTCCATTTTATAGATGAAGAAACTAAGGCTCAGTCCAAGTGAATAAATTATTCAAGTCTGGCTAAGAGGACCTTCCAACTCTGGATACTTCTACCTTTGGTGAAAGTTTGGATTTGTTTCTTCAGAATCCTTACCACTTCAAGGTATAATGATTCTGAGTTTCTCAAGACTGTAGAGCCTTAAGACTGCAAAGTCTCTGAAGGCTCTAAAATCTTCTAATTCTTGTTGAATAACTTACGAAGGGAAGGGAAGGTTGTGGAATAGCCAGCTCTTAGCTAGCTCCCCTCTACCTGCCCCACGTCCAACTGGCTATTTATTCACTTCAAGTTCCAAATGTTTAAGCGACCATGGGGGAAATATGAAAATTATAGTTCATTCATTCATGGAATAGTTTATGCTATGCATAGAATTAAAATGACAAAGAAAAATACTTAGTGTGTAACAAACAACAGATAACTTTATGCAACATTGTCCCAATTGTGTTAAAATAGATACACAGTGGGGGGAAAAGGGGGGAAGAATGACAAACGGTAATCTTGATTGATTCTGGTTAGTGGGATACGTCATTTAAAAAAATTTTTTTACCCCTATCTTTTAAATTATTTTTTATTTTTATAATCAGGGGAAAAAATGTTTTAAGTTCGAAAGTGTGAGGACACACCTGGAGCCGTCAATTTGTCTCAGAGTTGGGATGTGGAGATGAGTCATCTTAAAAGGAGAGCGAGGGGACAGCGGGGCTTTGACTAGGGCTGCCTTTGAAAGGGAGGGACAAGCACTAGATAGGGTGAGCGCTGATCAACTCAGCCGGAGTTCAAACCGGAAGCGCTGACGGTGGCACCCTACCGGGCAAAATCCAGCCGCAAAAGCCGGGAATAACGTGGCAGCCGCAACCCGACCTCAAGGCCCGCCAGACCCAAACCACCCGCACCGCCCCCCAGCCGACGCCCTGGCTAGTTCCCGCCCCTTACCTCTCCCCATTGGTCGGCTGAAGCTTCTTGGTTTCCGGGGCCCGCCCCTCTGGGGCCTGCGAGAGGTGGGACGCTCCCTCCCCCACTTCCACAGGGGCAGCCATGCTGAGAGTGGCGGGCGGAGGGGGGTGGGACTGCTGGCTCTTTCCGCCACCGCAGCCGTACCCTCCCAGTGTTTCTCCGCCGCGCGCTATGGGGACCCGGTGGAAAGAGTGATTTACCACTTGGGAGCTGGGCGTCTGTGTGAAGTGCTGAGGTTTCCTGCACTGTCTCCAGTTCCCTGGAGGCAGGTGGCTTTTAGTTTTCTAGAGGTGATGTCATCACAAAACCTTTCCAAGGTCCTAATGCCCGTGGTTAGGATCTCAGAGCCATTGAAAATCACAGATCCTTAGAGATAGGATGACCATATAATTTATTGTCCGACCTAAATAGCTTTGAGACCCTAAGAGGATGCTATTAATAATTACGATCGGCACAACAGTCTTAACTGTGGGCTGTTCTGGAACTTAAATAGCCACCCTACTTAGAACTGGTCCCAGGGCCAGCTCTTTTTTTTTTTTTTTTTTTTCTTTTCTTTTTTTGAATTGTGGTAAAGGTATTTAACAAAATTTTTCATTTTAATCATTTTTAGGTGTATAATCCAGTGGCATTAATTTTATTCACAATGTTGTGCAACTTTCATCATTATTTCCAAAATTTTTCATCACCCTAAATGGAAACTACCCATTACCCACTCCTATTAGCCCCTGATACTCTTTTCTGTTTCTTTGAATTCACCTATTTTTGATATTCACATGTCCTAAGTGGAAAATTATGCACTTTTCTCCTTTTGTGTTTACCTTCTTTTAGCATGATGTTTTCAAGGTTCATCCATGTTGTAGCTTGTATCAGTACTCCATTCTGTTTTATGGCTGAATAATACTACATTGTATGGATATAACACATTTGTTTATTCATTCATCAGTTGATGGGCACTTGGGTTGTTTCTACCTTTTGACTATTATGAATGCAACTATAAACACTTTCATTCAAGTATTTGACTCTGTGCTTTCAATTCTTTTGAGTATATATACTTAGGAGTGGAATTGCTGGATCATATGGTAATTCTCTGTTTTAACATTTTGAGGAAATGCTGTGCTATTTTTCACAGTACCTGGACCATTTTATATTACCACCAGCAATGTATGAGGGTTCCAATTTCTCCAACACTTGTTACTTTCCTTTTTTTGTCTTTAGTTTTTATGGCTATCCCGGTAGGTGTAAAATGTTACCTCATTGTAGTTTGGGTTTGCATTTACCTTATGACTAATGATGTTGAGCACCTTTTCTAGTGCTTATTGGTCATTTTTATATCTTTTCTGGAGAAATTTCCATTCAGGTCCTTTGCCCATTTTTGAACTGTTGAATTGTAGTTTTTTAATTTTTTTAAAAGTTATTTATTACTATTGCAAATATTTTCTCTCATTTTGTGGATTGTCTTTTCACTCATTTTAGTGTCTTTGATGCACAAAAGTTTTTAATTTTAGTCAAATCCAATTTATCTATTTTTTTCTTTTGTTGTCTGTGCTTTTGGTGTCATATTTAAGAAACTATTGCCAAATGCAAAGTCATGTGGCCCATCTCATTTTACAGATGGAGAAATTGAAATGTACAGGGGGAAAAGCCTGAGTACTCAAGGTCACTCTAAGTTAATAACAGCTGGGACTAAAATCTGAGTTCTTTTTTTTCTTTCTTTTTTAAAGATTTTATTTATTTATTTGAGAGAGAGAGCATGAGCAGGGTGAAGAGCAGAGGGAGAAGCAAGCTCCCCGCTGAGCAGGGAACCCGATGCAGGGCTCGGTTCCAGGACCCCAAGATCATGACCTGAGCCGAAGGCAGATGCTTAACTGACTGAGCCACCCAGGTGCCCCTAAAATCCGAGTTCTATTCACAACCAGTGATAAATAAAAGAAAACACACACTTAAGAAAATCATTGAGTGGAGTTTTACCTTCAGTAATAAAATAATAGAATAGAATCTTTAGGACAACTTTGCTCCTAGACTAAACAGAAAAGGCTGTATATATAGTTCAAATTATTATGATAATAGACAACTCTGATTGGATAATTTGGGGGTCAGTATTAAACAAACAAATGAAAGTTGATAAACAGGATCCTGGCTTACTTCAGGACATAACATCTATAGAATGGCACTTTGATTCATAGCCTGGGAAACTAGGATTTAGAAATCTAAATCTGAGGTGCCTGGGTTGCTCAGTGGGTTAAGCGTCTACCTTCAGCTCAGGGCATGATCTCGCAGTCCTGGGATTGAGCCCACATCGGGCTCCCTGCTCAGCGGGGAGTCTGCTTCTCCCTCTCCCTCTGCCCCTCCCCACTGCTCATGCTTGCTCTCTCTCTCTTTCAAGTAAATAAATAAAATATTAAAAAAAGAAAGGAAGGAAGGAAGGAAAAGAGAGAGAGAGAAAGAAAGAAAGAGAAAAAGAAAGAAAGAAAGAAAGAAAGAAAGAAAGAAAGAAAGAAAGAAAGAAAGAGAAAGAAAGAAAGAAAAAGAAAGAGGAAAGAAAAAAAGAGAAACCTAAGTCTTTCCTGGCTGAGTTACTTGAGGAGCTTCCTATTGAAGCCAAGAATCAAAATGTCAATTTCACACACACAAAAAAATGTCAATTTCACTTTAATTTTTTCACCAGTGCTTATTAATAGAAATTCCCTTGGAGGCCCTTAAGCGTCTGCCTTTGGTTCAGGTCATGATCCCAGGGTCCTGGGATTGAGCCCTACATTGGGCTCCCTGCCCTGCGGGAAGCCTGCTTCTCCCTCTCCCACTTCTCCTGCTTGTGTTCCCTCTCTCGCTGTGTCTCTGTCAAATAAATAAAATCTTAAAAAAAAAAAAAAAATATATATATATATATATATATATAGAAATTCCCTTCCAAAAGTTGGCTTTTTAAAAATATTGGGCACCCATGTCTGAAGTTTAAAATCCTCTTATTCAACAAATATCAATAGAGAACTTTAAGTCTTTATTCTTATATTATCCACTGATTTGTAAATACTGGGAATTTCTCTTTCTCGGACATTGACAGGGTATACTCTGTTAGGACTTAAACAAGTCTAGTCCTTCTATCATGTATCCAACTCAGGACAAATGTGATGTATATGTAATGACAATGCTTCCCCATCACATTCATTTCTGGACATTTAAAAAGAAATGCATTTAAGTAATCTCTACACCCAGTGTGGGACTCAAACTCATGACCCTGAGATCAAGAGTCGCATGCTCTTCTGACAGCCAGCCAGGTGCCCCCATTTCTGGACATTTTTAAATAGCATCATTTTTTTCCCCCTTCAAGACTATAGGGTTTGGGAGAGAAATAAATAATTAGAAATCACAAAGTAGGATAGAGGAATCCTTAGACTTTGTCCTAATCAAAGTAAGTGGTAATGGTGGTGGGGTCATTGATATATTTTGTTGTGCTTTTAAAAAGAATATGGAAGCTTTTACTTTTGGAAATTTAGAATATATTTCTGGCCAAAACAGAAGCTGCATTCACTCAGCACTTAATTTTGTAAGTGGAGAAATTACCAATAATAATATCTTCCTCTTTTAAATCTTTCCACCAACCTTTCCACCCCTTGAGCCAATCTTCTATCAGAGTCAGCTTTAAAAATAAACAGATCTGAAAGAAAGGTGGATATAAATATGAATTTTGTACCTGCAAGCATATCTCACAGGAACATAAAAAAGCATAATAATTATCTCCTTTGCTCCTTCCCAAAATTTCTGCAAAGAATTATAGTTAGTATTTTACTTTATCCTCCCTAAAAAATGGAACCATTATAGTACAACATATTTTCTAGTTCAATCTCTCTGATGAGCATGTGAGATCCCTTGGTTTTCGCACTAGAACAGTTTCACTCCCGAGAAGCCCTTAGCCAGTCTATGGGGCGACAAGATCTGATTTCTTACCAAAGTTTGTTAAAAACAAGATGACAGGCCCTAGTGGAGTCACTTATGCTAAGCCCCATGCCACCAAACTTAAGTATCGGCTCCCCCAGAAATCGAATCTTAAATCAGTCAATCAGACATTGCCTAATCAGCAATAATTATCTACCTGATAGACCCTTGCCAACCCCTAAGGAAAGTGATCTTGCCATAACCAATCCTCTTTTTTGTCTAGTATAACTTCCTTGTTCCCACTCCTATAAAAGTCTTTCACTTTGTACAGCTCCTCAGAGCTATTCTCTTGTCTGCTAGATTGGACGCTGCCTGATTAAAGAATCATTGAATAAAGCCAATAAGATCTTTAAAATGTACTCAGTGGAGGGGTGCCTGGGTGGCTCAGTCGTTAAGTGTCTGCCTTCGGCTCAGGTCATGATCCCGGGGTCCTGGGATCAAGTCCCGCATCGGGCTCCCTGCTCCGCGGGAAGCCTGCCTCTCCCTCTCCCACTCCTCCTGCTTGTATTCCCTCTCTCGCTGTGTCTCTGTCAAATAAATTAATAAAATATTTTTAAAAAAATGTACTCAGTGGAATTTTGTTCCTTATCAAGTTACTCATATTTAGAGTTGCCAGAATTAGCAAATAAAAATAAGGATGCCCAGTTAAATTTGAATATAAAATTTTAAGTGAAATTTAATTTGGCATCCTAAGTATTTTTTTAAGGATTTTATTTATTTATTTGTTTGAGAGAGAGAGCTCACGTGTGTGTGCGAGCGGGGGGTGGGGGGTGGGGGTAGAGGTTGGGTTGGGGTAGGAGCAGAGGAAGAGAGGGAGAGGGACAAGTAGACTCTGCACTGAGCATGGAGTCCAACACAGGGCTCAACCTGGAGCTCAATCCCATGACCCTGAGATCGTGATCTGAGCCAAAATCAAGAGTTGGAGGCCCAGGGGCGCCTGGGTGGCTCAGTTGGTTAAGCGACTGCCTTCGGCTCAGGTCATGATCCTGGAGTCCCGGGATCGAGTCCCACATCGGGCTCCCTGCTCGGCAGGGAGTCTGCTTCTCCCTCTGACCCTCCCCCCTCTCATGTGCTCTCTCTCATTCTCTCTCTCTCAAATAAATAAAATCTTTAAAAAAAAAAAAAAAAAAAAAGAGTTGGAGGCCCAACTGACTGAGCCACCCCAGGCATCCTATATTTTATCTGGCAACCCAATCCATAATACAACAATATTTCACATTTGTTATTTCAATGTCTTTAGTGAATACCGCTAGAGTAAAACATTGGGCTAGGCTTCATAGGTCAAATGAAGGTAAAATTTGTGTCCTCAAAAATTTATTATTGGCAAACTGTGGAAAGAGCCAAGATGTCCATCGACAGATGAATGGATAAAGAAGAGGTGGTATATATATACAATGGAATATTATGCAGCCATCAAAAGGAATGAGATCTTGCCATTTGCAACGACGTGGATGGAACTGGAGGGTATTATGTTGAGTGAAATAAGTCAAACAGAGAAAGACATGTATCATATGATCTCACTGATATGAGGAATTCTTAATTGCAGGAAACAAACTGAGGGT